CTATGTATTTGCCAAGACTGTAGTTGAATGAATCATAAGTGGACAGTATAGGTCATAGGGGGCAGTCCTGCTTGTGTGTTTTAGGAATGGCATAGTGTTGTGGTGTGCGTGAATCAGTTTTACATAGATAAAAATAAAGATCGTCAGTAGTTAAATTATCTTTTTTCATTTGTAATAAAATTCTGTTTAATTGTTTTTCGTGTGTTTGTTAGGTTGTTTGGGATGGCTTTGAATTTCTTTTTGTTGGAAGGGATGTCGTTCATTTTGTCGATGTATTCTGAATTGTTCATGATGACAGTGGTGTTGCCTTTATAATCTTTTAATGTTAGTGTTCTTTTTAAGATTATAAATGGATTTGATCTCGTTACTTGTGAGATTACTTTTCAGTTTATGGGATTGGTTGACTATAGTAATAGTCTTGTTTGAGAATTCTTTAAAAAAGTTATTTAAAATATAGTTTTTCTGAACTTTGGGCAACCATATTTTGTTGTAGTTGCCTGTGATTAAAAGTCTGTTGGTTGATTGTCATGGATTTCTTCTTTCTGTAGTTGGAGGATGTTTGAGGTAGAGGTGGTCTTATGTAGTGGGTCACTAGTCTTCTGGCTAGAACTTCTAGACACGCCTTGAACTCTAGGCATGGAGTTGTTTTATGGTTGACGGCAAAATTGAGGCCTTTGAATTCACCACAGGAATAATGTTGATTTCTGAATTCTAAACAGTTTACCTATTGAGTTTTAGTAACAACCAAGTAAGAAAGATATTTAGCTATTTGTTCATCTTGTTGATTGCACTTTAGACAAACAGGTTACCTATCGAATTTCAGTAACAACAAAGCACGAGAAAAATTTAGCAATTTGTTAATCTTGTTGATTGTACTTTCGACAAACAGTTTACCTATCGAATTTCAGTAACAACAAAGCACGAGAGAAATTTAGCAATTTGTTAATCTTGTTGATTGTACTTTCGACAAACAGTTTACCTATCGCATTTCAGTAACAACAAAGCACGAGAGAAATTTAGCAATTTGTTAATCTTGTTGATTGTACTTTCGACAAACAGTTTATCTATCGAATTTCAGTAACAACAAAGCACGAGAGAAATTTAGCAATTTGTTAATCTTGTTGATTGTACTTTCGACAAACAGTTTATCTATCGAATTTCAGTAACAACAAAGCATGAGAGAAATTTAGCAATTTGTTAATCTTGTTGATTGTACTTTCGACAAACAGTTTACCTATCGCATTTCAGTAACAATCAAGCAAGAGAGAAATTTAGTTATTTGTTTGTTTGTCTTGTTGAATGTAATTTGGACTAAGTTACAATCTCTCAGAAGAGCTTCAACATCAAGAACTTCACCTCATCAGATGGATCAGACAGAGTTTTCATCAAAACTGGAAAGAGTACTTCGATATGTTTGAACATCTGAAAAACATACAATAAACAATGCTTCAAAAACTACTTCTAGAAAAGAACAGCTTTTGTATTAAAAGATCACTGCTCTTCTAATCAATCTCAAACATAATCACAACTACAAAGATCACTGCTCTCCTAATTAATCTCAAACATAATCACAACTACAAAGATCACTGCTCTCCTAATTAATCTCAAACATAATCACAACTACAAAGATCACTGCTCTCCTATACAATCTCAAATATAATCACAACTACAAAGATCACTGCTATCCTAATTAATCTCAAACATAATCACAACTAAAAAGATCACTGCTACCCTAATTAATCTTTCACATCATTATTTTAATCAACTTAATCAATGATTCACTTCAATTTCTTGATCATATAAAAATCCATGAGAGCTACAAATCACTCCCACAGAAATTTGTTTAAGAGTGATTGCTCTTATCAATATTTTCAGTAAATCATTGAAAGTCATATCCATCTTCGATGACGAGGAACCCACTTTGAGACTAATAATTCTTGGAGATGGCTTGAATGGGTAATGAATAAAAACTTTAATATGAGTTTAACATAACAGCAAATGTACAACGTTTCAACAAGGTTTTGTCATCATCAGGTACAAGTAGTTTACACTGACACAGATATATATATATAAAACCCTCTTCTAATTGTGCAACAATATCCAGTCATGTGACCTCATTGTTCCATACTGTGTGTGTGTAAACTACTTGTACCTGATAATGACAAAACCTTGTCGAAACGTTGTACATTTGCTTTTATGTTAAGCTTATATCAAAGTTTTTCATCATTACCCATTCAAGATGTTTCCAAGCATTATTGTGTCAATCTATTCTCATTTTAATGAGGGGTATTTCAGTTTGAGTCAGTTGCAATTGCAATTATTTATTTAAACATCCTATAATTTAACATTTATTTTACCTTAATCACTGGTCCATTACACTGTTTAACAATATATCATCTGAGGTCATCTAAACACCCTATAATTTAACATTTATTTTACCTTAACCACTGGTCCATTACACTGTTTAACAATATATCATCTGAGGTCATCTAAACACCCTATAATTTAACATTTCTTTAATCTTAGCTTGTATTGCAATAGTTTTAACAAATGCTATAATTGTGGTTATAAAAACACTTTCTTTTCTAACAGCTTATTAAAACACTATTTTATTCCCAACAAACTCGTGTAGTCATTATAGTTAGATGTATGGTAGAGTTTGTTGGGAATTAAATAGTGTTTTAATAACCTGTGAGAATATAGTGTAGTCATTATAGTTAGATGTATGGTATGTATTCTCACAGGTTATTAAAACACTATTTAATTCCCAACAAACTCTACCATACATCTAACTTACCATACATCTAACTATAATGACTACACTATATTCTCACAGGTTATTAAAACACTATTTAATTCCCAACAAACTCTACCATACATCTAACTATAATGACTACACTATATTCTCACAGGTTATTAAAACACTATTTAATTCCCAACAAACTCTACCATACATCTAACTATAATGACTACACTATATTCTCACAGGTTATTAAAACACTATTTAATTCCCAACAAACTTCACCATACATCTAACTTTTATGACTACACTGTATTCTCACAGGTTATTAAAACACTATTTAATTCCCAACAAACTCTACCATACAT